TATATATATATATATAACATTTCTTTTTTTCTCAGTCTGTTGAACGGACATTAAGCTACTTACGCCTCTGTACTAGCAACGATGACGAATTAAAAGACACAGGGGGAAAGGGGGACAGACATGATTGAAATAAATAAAGCGGGAAGAAGGAGCATGAAGGAGAGGGGGTGGGACATTATCTAACTACGCGATTAATTGTGCGCCGCTCTTTTGCCATTCATGTAACCTATCCACCTCTCCGCGGTCGTGATAAAAATAGGATCGTTGTCGATTGAGTGGAGCAGAAGTAGCTGATTGATATGAGTAGAGTGGTAATCCCATCTAGCTAGATTGGGCGCCGTTTTCAGCGTGAAGTGACGCAGATCGTACGTCGTACCTGAGCCAGTGTCGAACAACGTTAACATATTCTTCAGCGATGTCATACCCTGATTCAAGAGCCTGGATGCCTCCTCCGCGTCCTTGCCCATCGCTATGCTCTTCAGGTCGTAGAGGCCGATGAGCGAGTAAATAAAACCGTTGAGTATGAAAGAGGAGGGCGTCGTCGGGTACTCCTCGTACCAAATGTATTTTCCTAAAAACGACGCGGCCACACCTCCTTTGGCGGAGGACAGTCTGAAGGGACGCAAACCCCTGATAGCGGCCTGCAGGTATTTCGCCTCCCCGGAATGATAATACGCGCGTGCCAACACCGATATCGCGTGACCCTGGCCCATGCTGGAGTGCCTGCAGCGGAACGATTTTTTTTCATGTAAAATTCGCCTCATAGCTGATGCCGTTGCTACGTGCGTATATACAAAGAACATCGCAGACCGACAGGGACAAATTCCGTGACCAGGACGGAGGTGCTTTGCGAATAACATGCAATTCGAGTTATTAATTAAAGAAGCCTCCTCCTGCACGTGGCCATTTTCAAGAATTAATAACTGGAAACTTTGCGTGGTCGTTTGCAAAACGGTAGAGGACACTTTTGTTCATCCCAATCCGTTCTACGCCCTCACGAAGTTTCTCCCCGTTGGTATGGAACGTTCTGTAGAAAACATTTCGCGCGATAGTCCGTACCATCCGGGCTCGAGGATAGCCATTCCAGGTGCCACCTTTCTCCTGACGGGATTCGGCCAACCTCCGGAGGTGACGTTCTGATTAGCGACGAACCACCTCGCCGCGTCGTAAAATTGTTCCATATGTTCGCTAGTGGATAACGTCATATTGTCGATCATACCGGAACCGTACAGAGTGATCTGGATTACCTGTGAACCCGTGAAATTTCCAATTTATTCGCAATTCGTTCCAAGTATTTCTCACGTAAAGTAATATTGTTATAACGCACGTTCTCTTTCTATCGATGATTACCTTGAGTTTGGAGCGAGGTATTTTCTTCCTACTCTTGTCGTTCAAATAAAGGCCTTTTTGTAAATCAACCACGAGGTCTCTAGTCAGACGTCTCCACTGATGACTAATTTGCCCGATGCCGTAATATATATGGTTATCGCGACTATACAATATTGTGTTACTGGTAGCGTAGTAGTAAAGATAATACATCTCTTTCTTCTCTCTCGACTGCAGGGTGACCACGACGCTCCCATTGTTCTTCACATTAAAATCCCACTTCAGGACAAAATCCAACACATGATCCAGATTCAAGGAGATCCCGGACATACTGGTCTGCGGAGTTGCAAATTTCAATACGTGGCTGTTAACCTGCGAGTCGTACACTCGGTCCAAGAGCGAGCCTTGAGAGACGTTCCAGTTCTGCTTGATCTTATCGGAGTCCTCGATTATCTTTCTGTGCGGTTCCGGCTCCGTTAGGTTTTTACTATAATGCGATAATCCAAATTGAGCAATTTGCGTGGGATAGTAGTATCCTTGACTCTCCCATTGTGTCGAGATCGGCACGCCGTCGGCGCCGCTGATACACTTAACTCTGTCTCTGACCTCGACGTTGTAATTCTCGAAGGTCATAAATACACCTCGGGAGTCATACTTCCCCTTGGGACTTACGATTTTCGAGTAACTATGCAACCATTCGAATCTCTCCAGGCCGTCGTAAGTAGCTAACTTTCCATAAATCTAGAATATTGTATCAAATTATTGCAATGCACACACTCGGTAATGATATAACTCTGAGCTAAAGTCAACCGGATATTGACCTCGAAGTATTTATGGATGAACGAGAATGGTATGTACACTTCGTCGCCCTCTTTGCGACATCCTATCGAATAATCACCGTTGATGTGACAATCTATCTCCTGATATCCTGATTCGGTGCTCAAACGATCCTGTATTAAGATATGTGGTTTATTAAAAATATGCTGTTGCTGTTGTAATACACCGATTATATCAATGACAAGAAATACTCGAGATTATATAAGAAATATTTCCTAGAGAATGAAATTCTCCAATATCTCACCTTATGTTGGTATTTTGTTCGCCAATCTGTGGCATGAAACAGTAAACTGTTTCCGCAATTATTCCATGATGTAAGTAAAGAGCTTAATGTCGCGACAATCAGTATAAACAAGATTGTCTTGAAGTTCAGTCGCATCATCATATACAACCTATCGATACCAAACATCTCTTCATAGACGTATGCATTTCAATATTCTAATATTTGGAGTATACCATGATAACTATACCATATGCTTGACAGACTACATGTCAGATCACTTCGGCGTGCGTTAACTAAAGTCAGGGTACGGTAAACTCGGTAGTTGAATATGTGTCACAACTTCTTCATCATTTTATAATGTTACATCAAACAATGTTTCAACACCGCTTTCCTCAATGATTTCTCAGAACTCATTTTTAGCGCCAACGATCCATATGTAACATTTACCCATTAAAAATTCACTCACTCACATTTTCGAACGCTTATTATTTCTTCTATCGAGTATATCCACGCGAGATTTCGTCACTTCTGGCTAAACCACCATGCAAGTGCACTTCCGAGATACAAAACGCAATGCATTGAAACAGCTTTTCACGATCGTCACCGCAATATCCTGAGTTATTGCTAAATCGTATCAGTGATTATTGGTCGCGCTTCTCGTCATAGCATCTGTAGGTTGTGAACAACTGAAACTGATTATAATCGCATATGTAACAAGAGACGTAGTAAGAAGGAAAAACGTTATTCTCGATATATTATATGTCAGATCTGTCGAAGCGTCCTTAGCCTAAAATACTAAAACTCTTCGACTGTCTCATCGAATTTATTACGCATTACTTATCAACCTATGTATATAACCGAGACTTACGTAAGTTTATGCAGAGATTAATCTCGGAATGTCCAAATAACAAAAAAACCAATTCAGCCATTACCGGCAAACTATTGAGTGATAGCTTGATACAATGTACAGTTGCATATGTATGTGATGTGTGTATGTGTGAATGTGAGCATCATATATATACAATAGAACATATTTGATGCTTTCCATTTGGTGACACGAGTCTACACAAGCATCATCCTGTCTTTGTCACTCATTGAATGTGGAACAAAGACAAAATGATGTTTGTGTCGACTTGTGTCACCAAATGGAAAGCATCATTTGGCTTCTGCACACGGAGCATGAGGAACGCAGAAACTTTTGTCGCGCGGCAAGAAGTGACGCGACAACCAATCAACGTGCCGTATTTCCATAGGAACTAAAAGTTCATTGGCCCGGCTTTTTCTGCGTTCCGTATGCAGAAGCCATTGAACTACAAGTCTGTTCGTTTTCGCTGCACCAATGAACTAGTGCAATAAGTTGAAGCGAGACAAGTATGTTTTTTCATTTCAACTTATTACACTAGTTTAGCGGTGCAACGAAAACGAACAGACTTTATATAACAAACTGGAAACTCTTTATTTCTGCCAGATGACCTCATGCCGAGAGAGATAGCGGCTGCGTTCTCTTTGAGTTGGTTTGCCAATTCACAATAGGTATTTTAAGCCTTAAGAAATTGACCATACATACATAATTAATTATTCTCCTCACACTCGACTGTGATTGGTCAATTTCTTAAGGCTTAAAATATCTATTGTGGACCGGCATTATTTCTTAAGGCTCAAGGCTTAAAATACCTATTGTGGACCGCCACTTATTCTCTATTCCTGTTGCCTGCGGTTTTCATTGTGCATAGGCCTTAATGGTATCCGTACTCTGACTACTCTAGACCTTCTCAGGTTTTGTTTGCCATGATATTTGCCAGCTTCTTGCGTGACAAACACATGGATATATTTTTCTGCTTTTAAAAGTTTCGAACACGTGTCGTTTATATAAATTTTATGTATATTAATATATATGTTTTGTATTCACAATGTCTTACAAGAATAATTTCAATGTTTTCGTGGGTGGAAAATCAGGTGTTTTCAAAGGTAATTAAATATACAAAACACAACATTCTCAAAGTAATGTTGTGAGTTACATTATTATATATGTGCAAAAAAAGTATGAATAAAAATCTATGAGAGAGATATATTTGTTACAGGAATAAAAATTGAAAAGAAGGTAAATATAATCAAAAACATACAGGACTTAGTTTCCATTACAGAAAATGACCAAGTGACTAACATCTCCTGGAGTGATGATGATGAGAAAGACATTTTAATTGCATGTGGCGTGAAAGAAAACAGAAGGTTACTTGATACAGAATCAAATATTTTTACACTAAGAAACTTCCATATTTTTTCACTTCTCTATAAGATAAAATCTACCAAGAAACAACTAATTAACAAAGAAAATTTTATATTCATGTAAGACTTTCTACTTGTTTCTAATATTTTGCACAAGATCTAATTGTTGATTCTTTACAGAGTAAAAATTTATGACTCTGAGAATTCCATGTTCACATGCTCGTTTCTTTGCAACACAGGCAAAGGCAGTATTAATGGAATATCACAATATGATGGGTAAAGTTATTTAAAAGTAAAAATATGTATATTCATATACACTAATATTATGTAATAATATGGTCTGTGATTTTGTCAGATCAATCCTGACAGCAGTCAACTCTGGAGAAGTGTGTCTGTGGCGATTCGACAGAAAAGAGGAATTACTGATAAATGCCGGGGAAAATTTAGATAGAATGTGTCACTCACGTGTGCAAAGAAATGTAATAGCTACTGGAGGACGGGAGCATAGGTTGAAATTGTACGACCTGGAAAAACAAACAATGATATTCAACGAGAAAAATCTCTCACACGATTGGTTGGAACTAAGGGTACCTATTTGGATATCTGATATAAATTTTCTACCGGAGACCCAGCAGATAGTCACAGTAGGCAGATACGGACATGTAAGAATCACGATGATTTATAAGAGATGCTGTTGCCACATGCCATTTCTGACTTTCCCCTACAGTAATAAGGATATATTTTTGACATAAAAATATTTACTGATTCTATAAAGATACGCCTATATGATCCACGTGTGCAGAGACGTCCTGTGATAAATATAACTCATCAAGATGAAGCTTTCACCTGTTCGTGTATTGCCCCGAAAGAAAAGTAAGATAGAGAAAACTTATATATTTTAAGTATCGATTCTCCATATTAACATGCCAATTAACCGGACTTATGTTACACAGACATATCATAGTAGGGTCTGGCAAAGGTAAGCTGAATCTCGTCGATCTCCGAAAACCAGGCAAAATATTAAACACATACAAAGGATTTGCTGGTGGAGTAACCGGGGTAGCTTGTAGTATGAATAATCCATACATTGCAAGTGTCAGCATAGATAGATATTTGAGGATACATCATATCGACACGAAAGAACTTCTGAAAAATGTAATTTTGTATCCTCAACATGCGTTTTAACGAAACATATAAGAATCTGTACTTATTGCACTTTATATTGCAGATTTATTTAACATCTAAGCTAACGTGCCTGGCAGTGAGGTCCGACTTTTCTATAGAAGAAACTGGCACTGAAAATAATCAAGAAGCCACAATGGAATCCCGTTGTGAATCCCGTAATGGCGGTAGCGTCGGCGAACAGTCGAATGACGACGCGATCAGTGAGGCAGAATATGACGAGTTATTTGATAAAATGCAAGTAGTGGGTAAGAATGAAAAAGTTAGTAAAAAACGGAAACTCGTCAAGCCAGCCAAGAAAGTCTCATCGAATGATCGTGATGTTGTAAGTAGATTGGCAATACTTTCAATTAATAACAAGTGTATCCTAATTGCATCTATCTGTTGCAATCTTTTTTTATCGCGTTTATGTAACTCTTCTTCCGTTTTTCTAAGCAGATGTCCCAAAAGTCGTTGCAGAAGAAAAGAAGGAAGGATCAAGCGAGGTCTCGCAAGGAGATGGAATAGTTATTTCCAGAAATGCTTTGGAGATCTAGCATTTTTGCTCGTCAGGAGAAGGTTTTTTTTTTGCTAGTTTTTAGAAGGTTTTTAAAGTGATTTTAAGGGGTTTTTTGATGGTTTTTCTTTTGCTGATTTTTAATCTCTCCCGATCCCGGGTGCATCAGAAGTAACATTTTATATTCTACTTCCGTCGAACGTGTCTAAGGAATATATATTTACTACATTTACAGGCACTATCCCCTTCGAAATCGAGTAATCACCATCACCCGTGTTCTCTACATGAAAACGAAGACAAAACGAGGAGCGAAATTTCGCGTGTCAAACGTCGTGCTGTGCGTCTTCGAGCGTAAAGAATCGTTTGTGTGATTTGAAGTGAAATCGTCTCAGAATGCTTTTAGTGCAGAGCAACGTCCTGTAGAAATCGCGACAAATATTCCGGTTCGCACCTTTTATAATTCTTCCTTACGATATGACACGAGTGACGGTTATAATCTGATCTCCTTGTACGACAGTACATGGCTTTGTTTGCTGTCCACTTACACGGCGACTCGTGTGCTTCGTCTTCTCGTTTATGAAGAAGAACTCGACACATGCTAATAAAAAGTATACGAGATCAACGATGTGTATATCGATGAATGGAGCAATCGATTGGAGCTCTTAAATTGCTCGTTATAATTACAAAATCTTGCCTCACGATAATTTCAATGATACATCAGTCGTATCGTCAGCAACGATTGTACAATACGTAGAATTTGGTCAAATATCACATTAAAATTCGAGTATTTCTGTATACTTCCATTTTGTCGTTTTTTTCTTCATTGTTATCGGTAGACGCGCAAATATCGCACGACGTTTGCGTGCTACCGTCTTAAATGTATAATCCGATCCCCCCTCCCCCTTTTTTTTTAAATGTTTCTTCCCTACAAACACTCGAGAGAAGTGTAACAACGGTATTATTAATGACGTTGCAATACCGACGAAATTATTCTAGCGGTTCAATTTAGGGAATATAATGGAGAAAAGAAAATCTCTTTCACGCAACTCTCTGCTTTTTTTTTTCGTCTGCATTCCGTTAAATATTCGTGTTTTCGTCGTTTACATTCCACAGGTTTCGTGACATTGTGTGATTTTGATACAAGAGATAAAAGATTTGCGGTTCTCGTACAGAACAATAGTCCTAACATCCGACACTTGCGTCGACTTTGACGATACATCAAAAGTGAAATCCTTTCCAAAAAAAAGGGGGGGGGGGAGGGGTACAGAGACTGTCTCTGTTTTAACAACAATATACATTAACAATATACAGCTTTATCGTTTCTACATAATCCGCTGAAATGATATCTGACAACTTAGAAGCACCGTATTTACTTGTAAGTATGAAATACAGTTTAAATGATCTGTGTTTATTATGCAACTATGCATCAGTAATTAATAGTTAGATATCTCTCTTTCTCTCTTTCTCTCACCCTCTTTCTAACACATCGCTAATAGAAATCAGCAACAACGGTTGTCACAAATGAGTATATAAAAGATGTCGAAGAGACGCTTAATTAAATCGGCGGTATGTAAATACGATCAGAAGAGAAACGTGAGAGTGGCCTCTTACAACGAGACCAAGTCTACGATTAGCGATCGTGCAACAACGCTTTTCAATATAGTAGCTAATTTCCCCTCTTCTTTTCTTAATCTTCACATAATCTAAAAACTGTCACTTAAGATCGAATCTACAATTCTCCGATTCGAAATATACATAAAACGTAAACTGTATAAAGATAAACGTGATCAAGACGGGACTTGACGCGTCGTCACCGAGATTTGGCATTTTTCAGCAAACTCGTCCGAGAACGTGCGAGTGGTACGTTTCATTATTCCTTCCTTTCTTTTCCACTACTCGATTGTAGAAGGGCGCGGGGGAGTCGTTATTCTGAGCAAACAATAGCGCAACTACTACTGTCCCTGGCGAGAAGCTCGAACGTCTATGCTGAGTAGCATTTGTACCATAAAAAATTAAGCTTAAATGATTTTATACACTATACAGCATCCCGCGTTTTCTTATCGCGCACGTCGCTCGCCTCCGGCAGGGATCCCCCTTCTTCCCGCGTCAACTAGCGCGGCGGTGGTCGCGACTACCAAAATTGATCTCGCTGAAACGGCGGGCGCGTCTCCCTGCGAGCGTGACGCGCGCGTCTGCCGATCGACTTTTGTCTCTCGCTTTAGTCGCGGGGAAAAGAGCGCGAGCGATAACAACAAGGGGGGTGTGTCTATGTATGTGTGTTGTCTTGTGTATGTGTGTGTATGTAGAAATACGCGGTGGTTATGCTCTACTTGTCCGGCGCTGGTGTTCGCGACGCGGCGCACTGCGGCTGAAGAAGCAGCGCCGATTATTATTATTCCTCTTCCTCGGTAGTGAGACAACAACGCGTGCGTGGGGGCACGTGAATAACGCGGCATCTCATTCGCCGCCCGACACGGTCACTTCCCGCCACGCTGCTTCCTGAGTGGTTTGACTGACTAACGTCGACTGAGGTTCCGAGATGTCCGATGCGGCGGGGCTCAGCGGTGGACTAGGGGTCGTGGGCGCCTCCTCCGACCGATTGCCCTCCGCGGCGTCCTGCTCGGTCTCACCGTCGCCGGTGAGCGACGCTTCCGACTGCGCGGAGCTGGGGGCCTTCGACAGCGCGGTATCTTGCGCCCGCAACGATATAGAGCTACCTTTATTGCTACTGCCATCTTCACCTGGAAAATCGGACGGATAAGAGAAATGAACAGACTCGAAGATCGCGAAGCGATGTAAAGAGGCTGATAAGATGAATAGTGGAGGAATTCCGTATTGTTCATTAAATTATATCGGATAGTTGGACCATGTGAGGATAATTCTTGCGCAAAAAGGCGGCGATATTAAGATGTTGCATCACAATCGGAAATAAAGAAACCAAGTTTTACACACGCAAAAAGTGTATTACAAATCTACGGGGTTAACGTTGTATATACAATGACAACCTTTCGACAACAATATTTAAACGTTTGGTTTTACTTTAGACTCTCTCTTCAGCAAGAGAAATCGACAGATCAATGTTAATATGACGAAGTATTGCGATTTTTTAAAGGTGCGGTTTGCCATGTATAGAACAGTTTGAAAACCAATTAACTCACCACAAGGCCTAAGAACGAGGTAGAAAAGCAGATCAGAGAGGGATATTATACCGATCACTTTGTCGTCGTCGTCGATCACTACTAGCCTATGGACCTAAAAACACAGCGCAGAGAAAGGAATGTAAATTTGCAGTCTTCGATTCTACAATTATTCTATATAAATTATCTCGATCGGGATATTATAATCGCGCTCAGTCGGAGAAACACCTTGCGTACCTCCGCTCTGACGATCCTTTCCATTATAGTGAACAGTGTCTCGTCTAACTTGCAACTTTGGACGCCTTCGAACCACTCATTGCGATGTTCGTTCGCCTCGCGCAATGAAACGTCTAGATTATTGTAAGTCTTTTCCGCGGCTAAATTCTGCAAAAGGCAAGGCGCGTTTATAAACGTCAGCACGTCCTACACGTCGTTGGCGTCTCTTGTACGGAGACACGACGGGAAAACGGGAACAACGCAAAACTTACAATAACATCAAACTTCGAATAAATGTTCACTAGCTTCCCGTCGGTGTCGACAATCGGTAATGCCGAGACTCTCCTTTCTACGAATTTTTTGAGCGCTAAAATTATGCTAGTTTCTTCCGTAGCTGTCTCTATGTTCTCGAAAGTGCCTATCCTCAACTCCCTCAACGTTTTATTGGTGAAAGACGGTTTTGGTAACTCGTGGATCTGCAATCGAGAAATGTCATCAAGACCGACGGTTAATTCGTGCGAGGAATGTTATTTCCCGGCAAATTCGGAGGAACAAGTGCGCGTACTCACATATAGGAAAAGGAACCTAAGTATTCGTTTATGTGTCAAGATATAAAGGACGTTTCCGGTATCGGGATCTATCACAGGCAATCGATGGATTCTGTTTTGTATTAAGGTCCTGATGGCTTCGTACAGCGACGCATCCGGCCCGATGCTTACGAGAGGGCGAACCTGATCCTTCAGGACCTCTGAAATCGAATTATTTTCCGCATCAAGTATGTCTCTGTCTATATCCAGGTCTCCGTTACTTCCATCGCAAGACGACGTTCAAACACGGGATCCGAGATCAATTGCGGATCCTTTAATTTGGATCAACGATAAATAATATCTTACGATATCATAAGAATGAAGTATTCGTCGTTCAGAATTAAATTGGAACAATGAAATTTGACTTGAACACTGAAGCAACGAGATGAAATCGGGAGTAGTGAAAATGAAGAATCCTTTGAACGGAAGAAACTCACTTCTCCACGTGTCCAGCTCATGCTCTTCCAACTCGTCCATTGTCACTGACGGACTGGTGTAATACATCTGAAGTATTTTTATGAAATCTGTTATAGTCAACATGCCCACAAACTGCTGCCGAGAACTGTCCCATAGCGGCGCGGCCCTCACACCTGAAAGCATTTCATCATCATCATCAACAGGCACTGATCCTGACAAACGAATCTCTCACGAGTCACGCAAACTTCGACTCACCATTATAGACGAGAGCGAAGAAGGCCTTTTTAACTAGTAGGTGTGTGTCGAAGACGACTAGTTTCGCGCTGGTCGGTATTAGGTCGTAGCATTTGTGAAATTTGAAGAACTTAACGAAGATCTGCGACTCGTCCTCCTCTGAAAGGCCAAACAGTTGACAGTAGAGCAGAGCCTTCCGATTGCGACGGAGCATTTTCTTTCGGGTCGCGCGAGAGGTTTTCGCGACGTGCGATGTGCGTTTGGAAATACTTGAACGCGAGCTCGATTCTTCGCGGTCGGAATGCGCGCGATTTGAACTGTTGTTATCCCAGCAGCATTCGTGCGCGCACCGTGACTCCCACTTCCTAGTGTTTTTTAACGCTGAATCAATTATAGAGCAACAATTTCTGTGTGAACGCGCAAATCTCGCCACTGAGTCGGGATCTCACACTGCGGATTTTCCACCTGACTGGGCAGTCTTAGCAGCTGCCTTTTGCTGTCTTTTTATGTCTGCAATAACAGTTGTTCTTCCGCAACTGTGATACCACTCTCGGTTTATGTGCACGACGATTATTGTTATTATTATGATATTTTGAGCGAACAGAGCACACGATGGTACAGATCCTTCAGCCGCGTTTCCACGACGAAAGGCGCCGTTGACGCACAGAGAAAGATCATTTCGGATTTAATAAGATTTCTTTAATCTAGGTAAATTTGTCTTTTGGAATAAAGCAAACGAATGTTCAGCCCAATAAACAGGATTGTTTGGCCAAACGAAGAATTTTAACGGGGCTTTAAAAGCAAAGTACGGACGTTACAGTATTAATATTGTCAATATTAACATTATTTGTTCAGTAATTTTATCCTCCCACAAATAATATTAATATTAACAATATTAGTATTCTAATGGCATTATAACCATTTAAGAGCGAAGCTCCTAAAGATCCGTTAACATTTTTCGCTTGGTTAGACCAAGAAGTAACAGTCATTCTTAATACAGAATTGTTTGGTTTTTCAAACAACAAATATCTTTACATAAATATTTCTTTTACATTTTCATCGAAACATCACAACGATGGTCCAAAGTAATAAATTATTTGAAAGAAGTAACATTATGTTAGAAAAATATTAAAGAAGACTCCTTTGTTTCAGTGAAACAATATTTAACATATAATAAGATATTTTTTTTACAGAAAACAAAATATTATTTCCTCTAATTAACAATGTTTCTTTTTCTTCTATCAAACAATATGGTTCACTCTGAAACATTTCTATTAAAACAAAATTATATTCGACATTAAATTATATTGTTTATATTAGACGAAACCCAAGATAAATACACGTACTAAATTCGAACAAACTTCCTTTTCTGTGTATACAATCACTTTCGTCAATTAAATAGCGTTCGTTGAAAATAGGTAGCGGCATATCCGACGGTAATGTTGAGTAATAAGAATGTTAACACGCATCTTCCTTTGATAGCGATACAGTGGCTCGATGACATAATTTCAAGTTCTCACGAGTTGACGGTATTGCGCAACGCACAGCAATGGGACTCGATTGAATGAGCGATAAGTTCGGATTAAGCACTTCGAAAGCTCGCCTATTTATAAAGCAAGCACGCGGACGGGAGCGCGGTTACTTTGTCGCGCGGATTCGTTACGAAGCGTGAGATAATCCTGCGATAACGACGCGCCAGTGGCCGACGGAAAATTGCGTTACGCCGACGCGAACAAGCCGCGGAATTACCCGGTACAGCAATCCACGATCTCCCAGAAATTACATGACGCGACATGGAAGAAAAAAAGAAAGAAAAAAAGAAGAAAGAGGCTCACGTGGTCGGCGTGGTTGCTGAGTCTAATTGCGCGCGAGATGATGATGCCATCGCGAGGATCGAAGCGAAATTCAGTTTCATACGGCAAACGAGAGACGATTGTTCCGTCGGGAGTCGTTTATTTTTCCAACATGAAATCAGTGAAAAGCCGATTATCGTAATACATGAAATAAAACGAGCTGTCTATGTTGATATTTTCAATCGATATGAAACAAGCGAAGGGCCAATGGAAGCCCCGCCACGTGGCTGTACGTGTGTCGTACAATTAGGTCGCGAGACTTTTTGTTTGATAAATTTCAATAGGAATCAATTCCAATAGGAAAATTTGTCTCCCGGTAATTCTCAAGAGATACATTCCCCTATTGGATACGAGATGCGTTGCAAGACTCGTCGTGAACAAAAGTGTTGCAACCCTTTTTGTGCAACTGACCTACTAGTGCAATGAATTATAAGGAGAAATATCAGAGTGACAAAATACAGAATGTTTCTTAATTAACGTCCACTATTTACATAGCGTTATTCCTCATGAAATATTGAATCGAACCACCGAGATGCACAGATTTTCATCGACCTTTCACACACTTCGTATCGATTGAGTATCCATCAGCGCAGAATTTAACTTCATTTATAATTCGTCACGGTTATTCTCGCTGTGCAGTCGCGTCGTCGTCGTGCAACTCGGAGAAGAAAGCTGGAAGAGCATGTGCGAAGACAGTCCCCGACACACTGCGACACACTCGGATCTGTCGAAAGGAAGACTGCGCGCCGATTGATTCCACCTTGGGTGCGAACGAAGCTACGTGTTCCAAGTCCCAAGTGACTCACGAAGGAGGAATGCCGTAAATTCTATTTTGCATCTGAGTCAACACACACGCCTCGGTTACGTTGCACCACGGAACACCCTTTTCCTTTCGCGTAACCGAGGAAGTTGCGTGAAGGAGGAGAAGAGAGAAACATGCGCGATGGAAGTCGCGAACTCGCGGAAGAAACGCGAAGCAACGACGCGGAAAACTCGCCGTTTACGCAACAACCAGGCACTTTTTACGAAAGGCTCGCCCCGCGCGAGTTTTCGAAACAGATGTTCGGTTCTCCACGATCCGGCCGTCGGAGAGATCACCAGGCGACTACGGCGGGACTGGCTCGATGCGAAGGAGAACGCGGTGCAGTCGCGAATAGCCACGGCGAGTGAGGCGAATTGAAGGTACGCCTCTCTCGTTACGTGTGTGCACGTCGATGCACGTGTGTACGTGTACACGCATGCATATACGTTGCCGGGAAAGAGGAAAGAGAGCGGTGATGCATCCGCGTCCGAAGGAATGCACTGACTGCAGGACGCGCCACTCGTGGCTGTCATGAATTTCGTAACGCGAAGATATGATAATACGGACGACTCATTGTCGAGCGGGCTATCATACGGACGAGAATGCAGTACATGCAGCAAGCAAGCTTCAGGGGCAGTCTCGGTGCCCGCTGTACTAAGACTCAGGACGACTTTCTTCGAACTCCGATTAGGCTGATCGACGAATGACCAACACTATTTCCCGGTTCTGTAATTTGTTGTTCGACAATAATTGAAAATTTAATTATTTTTGTCGGCGCTCTGGGAGATAGAGCAGCGAACTGACGGGAATTTTAAGTCGTCGGTTAGCTTAATTCTTCAGCCGCAATATATTTTTCACCCCGTTAATGGTGGTCGCAATGTGTCTTTCACAGGCACACTAATTTTCCCATTATTTTCCTCCGCTTCGTGAGCCGATTTTTCTTTCATTAGCGCTTGGCTAACAGACCAGGTACTAAAGTATATGAAGGGCAGCGAGCAACGAAAAGAACGGGGGGGAGGGGGAACATTGACAAGGACAAGTTCGACCTTGAAGCCGTACAGCAACGGCGATACATTGTAGCCTGAACGTATCTTTATTGGATACATTTGCGACTAACGGAGGATTAAGGAGATTGTAAGACCCAGTGTCGTATTTTCAGTAGCGCTGTAAGAGTTAATCGTCGCTTCGGAGTTTGATGCAAATCGGGCCTTACGGTCGTTTTTACCATCATGGTTTATATCGAATCGACGATTAATTCAACGGAATCGACTAATCGCAACGATCAGTTCAGCTAATCGGCCAATGCGATTGGGTCAATCGTCGATTAGAATCAAACTATAATGATAGAAATGGGCCTTAGTCCGATAAACATCAAGTTTTCACCGAAGTTTAGCTTCGTCCCGGAAATTCTCGTGAAAAATAATGTCGCATAAGACGTCTCGCTACGACGAGCAGCCGCGAAATGAGGCGATTATTACGACGGAATAGATAAAATCGGAATCTTCGTTACGCGCAAAAACCCGTCCCCGATCAACCGTAATAAACACCGCGTCGTTTCGCGGCCACTTCGTGCTACGAGAGTGCGATAACGCAGCCGCGGGATTAATCGTCTTGACGACGTCGGTCCCCGGTTATCCGGATTAACGTAGGACAAAGGCGGATATAAAATTCGCCTCGAGCGAGGAAGCGGGGGGCTCCTCTCCGTGACAATTTGGCAGTCGCTTGACGATTCGCGTTATATCGCGCGCGATACCTTTGGCCAAGATCCAAGCGAGCTCGTCCTCGAGGGGCGGGTTCTCCAGCTCGAACTCCTTGATGAGGTCCTTCGAGTAGACGGGATCGTCGTCCTGACACCACCAGGCGGCCGCGAGCTGCCTTAAAGCGGCGCGCACACTCTCGGAATTCGAGTAGTAGTGCAAGGCCAGCATTATTTAACATTGTCAGACGCAGTGACCGACGTTACGGTCGAACTGTCATTTCGCCGGAACGCTAATCACCGCCGCCGTGATTAACGCGATTCGCCCGGAATACTCGCGCTTCTTCGCCTCCTCCTCCGGCTGGGAGAGTTTTTCGCGCTTCGTCTTTCCGATCCGTCACCACCGTCAACAACGGACCTTTTGTTCCTCGGGATACTCGCGTGGGACTTATCCGGAGAGAGAGAAACGAGCATGTCGCTGGAACCGCTCATGGTCGGCGTTCATTTCCGGAAAGTGCACGGCTGTGATTTCTCGACGAAAGCGCGTGATTCTCCCAGCTTATCAGCCGGCGGCCTGATTCTCCTCCAAGTCCCCGGTCCCTTATCACTGAGACTCTCTTGTCACTGGACGGTGCTGCTTTGATCTACCTGGTGCTACCGCCGTCGACATTTCGCGAGACCTCCGGAGGATCGTCAGCTTCGTCGCTGACGAACGCAACGACTGTCTGGTCGCTTCCCGTCCATCGTCGGCATCTCGCTCTAGCAGTCTCCTTCTTTCTCGCTCGCCTTCGGCTTCCTCGTCGTCATCGGCCAAGCGTCGTGCCAAGAATAACCGTCGAATCCGAAACCGCTGCCAAAAGAAAGAGAGCGGAGCGCGCGCGCAGCTCCGTATCGACGCTTTCATGGAACTTTCCTCGCGCGCGACACACGTTCCCTTTTAATTAATATTGCACGATCGAGTAAAGGAGAGAAAGAGAGAGAGAACGAGAGAGGGAGAAAGAGAACGCTACGTCGGAGAAAAGTGCAGCAGGCAACACCTAGGCGAAGCTGACACTTGCTCTCTCTCTCTCTATTTCTCCGTCAACAAAACGAAACTACAACCGACCGGAGGCCCGTCCGACCAAATTGCGACCTAACTACTAACATCCTCGCCGCGTTTGCCACTCCACGTTTTATCTTATCGAGTTGATGCGTTGCACTATCTCTATTAGCTCTCGTTGCATCAGCCGAGCAACTAGAGCGCGCGAAACGCGCTTCTCGCGAAAGTTTCGAGCGGTGAGAAGAAACCTACGATCGCGATCTGTGTTTCCGACCGATTCGGCCTTTTCCCAAACTAAGAGAAAATCCCCATCGTGCGAAGCGTAGGAAAAATACCGAGGCGGCGGCGCGCGGGTATTGCTTCATTTTGCGCCTCGGGCCGAGAACGCACGGCCACGCGTGCGATCCGCGCGGCGCTGCGAGGCGTTCGTGAATCAACCCCAGTCATCGTCTCGGGGCGCCGAAAGAATCCGGAAGGCAACCTCACCGGCGCGCAACCTCTGCCACGTAATAACTTATCGAACGCGGTCTGCCCCATGACCTAGACCTAGATAGGGGCGTGCGAATGCGACGCAGAATGCGAGCGCACTGCACGACGAGGCGAAGCTGTATCGCGAACCCTCTCTGTCCCTCCCCTTCGCGTTCTCTCTCTCTCTCTCGTTCGCTCACTCGCTCGCTCCTTCTATCTCCGTCTCGCTCGCTCTTAACGCTGCGAGCCAGCTGGCCTCCCGGGAACTCATCGATCGTCACCATACACCTACCGGGACGGCACGGCGAACGGTCGGAAGACCTAGTACCACGATTTCAAGGGGAAAGCTATACAGAAGCGGAAGCACGTGGAGGATTCCCGAAGAGGAGCTCCGGCGCCGTTCAAACGCGACGACACCCCTGCGATATAAAAGCGTCATGTATCGCCTGTCCGTCGGAATGCGAATGCAAACGCGCCCCGGAATAATTAATCCCAATTATGCCACCCGGCTCTTTCAGGATATGCGTGCGCCAATTTTGGCTCGTAATTTGAGTGGAGGAAAAAAAGGGAACTTGTAATTCTCGCTACGTTAAAGTAAAATCAAGGGAAACGAAGTGTGCTTCTCTCTCGTGTGCTCGTTTGTTTGTTTGTTTGTTCGTTCGTTCGCTCGCTCATGCAGTGTAAAACTGACTTCTTTTCTCGAATCTGCGTCCGTGGCTTTTCTCGTGATCGATCTGAAGTCCCTTTGCCGCAACCACGAATGCTTGATACTAAATTTATACCTTCCGATAAAAGGGAAGTTTCTTCTTTCAATAAAACGCACATCGCAGCATCGACTTGTGGAATATATAAGTAACCTTCTGAGATCAATATAATAGAAATCAACGTGAATTTACTGGCCCACGAGAAGCCCACTGTACTCTGTCCTTTAAGAACGGAGAGTTTACTTGTTGCGCCGATTACAGGCAATCAAGCTCAGTTGTTTGGGATAAGCTTTTTCTCTCAGACCACAGTGGCTTTACCGCGAAACACCCTTTATGTGAGAAAAATCGCGTCGCGATCTCCCCCGTATACACGGCAAAAGCAATTCTCGGAAGGTCAATCATCAAGAAATAAAGATCCTGAGAAGTAATCCTTTGATGTGGCGGTACTCACCGAGATCGGAGAGCGAGACTTTTTCCAGGAAGGGATCCACCACCGGCAACTGCAAAATGGAGAAAGAAATGAGCGATATTCATTTCGAGCGCGATCGTTACGCGATCGCTTCGATATTGTCACGCATGGTAACGGCTTCAATGAAAAGAGGTGTAAAGAAATCTTGCTCGGTAATTCTAAGATATCATCTCGAAAACCACGCTATTAGTTCCGGCGCGCAATTTCCCTGGCAAATATAATTTCCCCTTTCTAATCAATCTCTCGAATAAAATGCGAAATAAACCGAGGGCCTCGTTAAGGGGGCTCGAGTGTTTGAACAAATATAAGATAAACTAATAATATGCACACGAACAAAAGTTAATCGAACTAACAAACAATGTGTAGCAGAAATTCCAATAATCTTTATTATGTAGCTTCTATGATATTTAATTACAAATTAGTGTATGCAAACATGTAATAAAATCTCATAACATAAAATTTCTTCTAATTTGACATTTGTGTAAAAGATAGAAAATTAGAAAACAATCGTAATATTAAAGATGAATATATAGATATAGACAAATTTCAGAATTACTGATCGTTTCATTTTGAAGATAAATTAGTGGAAAGTTTATATAATTTATAGCAATATGATGCATGCACGCATATATTTAAACACTTATATATACCTCTTTCTATCATCTGCGCATCTCTATTAGATACACCGATGTATAAATAAAGCACTAATAAAAAAAAAAAATAAAAAAACAATAACATGTTCGTATCTGTAATATTGTGCATATACATTTACCTCCGAGTTTCGTTTCAAATTAACATTTATTATCTGATGAAATAAATGTATATAGAAACGTAATTTTGCTTGATAAATGGTGAAATTTAGTGAATAGAAGTGAAATAGTGAAAGGTCCCTTTAGAGTACGCTCCTGGAAGTACGGCACTTAATGAGCGAACCTCTTTAAAATTACTGTAACCTGGCGAATAATTTCCCCTTTGGAACCAATTTCAAATAGAACGTGAAACGGATCCTGGCGACTTCATTCTGAGCGCACGTTTGACATGGAATCCGGCCGTTCGTGACTCCAAGTTCCATTTTTCTCGTAGAAATATCACAATAAAAGCCGGCTTTCAGCTCGAGAATCAGAAAAGGCGTGTTGAATGTTCACTTGTGCGTCCAGAACACGGTCCCGGTATCCCAAGATATCAGCGCGTCTTTCGCTCTTTCACATTGAATTATCGCTTCTCCCGGGCATCCTCCCCCGGTCACTTCTCTCCACGTTCTCCCGAGATCGAGTGTAACATCACGTTCTCCGCGGGGAACGGTATTACGATATTATCCGAGAAAGATATACCAGCGCTCGCTTCAGCAAGGACCTCGGGCTGAAGGTGTGCCGTCTCTTGACGTTCGTGATCTTCGTGTACCAGCTCGTGAGGATCCCGGAACCGGTGGCCTGCGCCACGTCCGGGCTCTTGGCGATACTTCCGGTCGGCTCGCTCGTCTGACGTCGAAATAACATCTCCGACCGATCGATCGGCGGAGGCCGACAACGAGGAGCTATTTTAAAACGAAACGTAACGTCGTCGTCCGTGCCTCGAGAACAACGCACCGGGGGTATTCGCGATCCGACGTGAGTTCGCTAACCGAACGCGAGGGAGAGTGAGCGGATCCACGGGGATCGTCGGACAGCACGTTTTTTTCACGTGTCCGTCGTCCTCCGTCGTCGGCGACGGTTCGGCGCGATCGTGAGAATCATCGATGACCGTCAGCGGCCGCCGACTCGCATGCCGAGGGCGCAACGTCGAGACTGGATCCCGCCGCTTCGTGACGACGATGTTTACATCGTCGTGACGAGGCACCGCGTTAACACGTCGCGCTTAACACCTTCGGTAACCCGCGAAAAGGAACACACGAGAGCGTGCGCGCCAGACCCGAAATATTCTCGACGGTGGCATAACTCTTTCGCGCCGCTGGCAAATCGCGAGACGCGGCCGGCCAGACACGTTGTTGTCGCGCCGGCTGCCAAGAGCGCTCGATTGTCAACAAGTGACAGCCCGCGGAAATCGACCCGAGAAATGCTCTTCCGATGAGTTGCACAAAAACTCGACCAAACGCCTCTCGCAAGAGAGAAGATAGACATCAGCAATTTCGCTCTTATTGTTCTTATTTCTTATCTAGTTTGAAAAAAATTTACAGATTATTGGACCGTTTCTAAAAGCATAGGGCAAAGTTGCCTTTGCCACCCTCATATAGTCAATCACAAATTGAGTGCAAAGTTGCCCGAACCCCGAGACTCGGAAAAGTGTGCCAAGTTACCTCCTCCTCCCCCCCCCCTTTTTCCCTATTCGTAGTCGTCGTCGTCGACGTTATCGCCGTGAGAGCCGATGAAATGAATCATCCGCGTAAACAATAGTTAAAAACGCACGGATTTTTTTTCAATTCTTCCGCGATTTTTTTTTTCGGGATTTTCCCAAGGATAGAAAAATTCACGCGTGTTAGAACCCGACACATTTACTGCTTTCCCCAAAGAAGATAACTACGTGTACTTAACTGGAATGAAATGAAATTAACCCGTCAAATAATATTACGTTCAAAAAATCGTAACTGAATACATAATGACAAAAACATGATATATATCACACATATTTTTATGTCTACAATGTATTCGGTTATTGCTTAGCATATTAACTTCATTTAACTTCAGTTAAATGCACGCAATCGTCTTCCTTACAGAAAGAACTAAAAGTGGCGGGCTTTAACCGAACATACGTGGACTTCTCCGAAACGAACGAATTTTCACACCCTTGGGAAAGAAAGCGAAAGATTCAACGGGAAAAATTGAGGGAAGAAACCGATTTTTCCCGAGCCTTCAAAAAACCGAAGGCGTAAACTGAACGTTTACTACGTTACACGGCGCAACAGCGATAACGACTCGCGGGCGTGATTGCGCGAGACCGGCGGGACGCTCGGCGAAGACACCGCGGCGCATTCGATAACATTCAAACCCGTTAAGGCAACTTTCAAAATCCCATATCTCCACGTGTCGTGTCGATGACGACGGCGCGTTCTACCGGCGGATCACCCGTTAGAAAGCGCTTCTCTTTCTCCTCCCCCTAGCTGCGCCCGTCTTTTTCCAACTTGCTCGACTGGCTCATTCGATCCGTGCCAAGAATAGTAAGACGATAGATAGCACATGCCACGACACACGTAACAAGTATAACAAACGAACGAACATACAACGAGGCGCCATGCTTCCCCCCCCCTTCGCTCTGTATATATCGCCGATAAAAAACTGATATTCGGTGACACGAATGCGGTTGCTGCGCGACGGAGACGACGGCAATAACGACGACGATAGGATGAGAACACCGAAGACGATATCACGGCGAAATCGATTTGCGCGTCTCGCAGCGAGTTCCGCCTCGAGAGAAGAGAGAAGGCTGGTCAAGTCTAAAAATACACAACGAACGTACACGACGGGCACACAACACAGCCATTGGCGAAAATTCCGCCGATAGATCACACAGCGTGGCCGAAGCTCTTGGTGTCCCCGAAAGCGTCTCGCGACGTCGGGTCTTTATCGGTTATTTCACGTATATAGGAATTAATTAGCCGTTGTGCCGACGACTACGTCAGCGGCCTGCGTGTTGCCGCGCGGTTTCGCGTTTCTGCAACGGAACGTGCAGAAACAGTTAAGCGCGAGCCGAGCGCGATGCGCACGATGCAGCGCGCGCGCGGTACTCCTCTTGCTTGCCTCTCTCTCTCTCTTTCTCTCTCTCGTTATCATCGCGGTATAGAGGCGTTTAAATGGATTTTTGCTACTACGTGTAGGCGTGCGACGAAGTTTCGATATGACTCGCGACATGTTACAAGGCTGCGGCTATAAGATAAAAAAAAAAATATTCGTGCGTCATGGCCGGCGAGAGACACGCGGCATTTGATGCAACAACTTGTTGATGAGGCCGGCGACGCGGCCAACGCGGGCTATGAGAAAAACGAAACGAGATCTTTCTCTCTCTTTCTTTCTTCTATGAGCGGAGGCGGCAGCTACTAGTTTGCAAAACCCGACACCAAGTCGACGAAGAGCTAATATTGAAAAATAAAAAAATACAGTTGAGAGCATTTAAGAGAGCATTTAACTGAGCAAGTTACAAATTCCAGGTTTTCTACATCCTTCCTTGGACTCTTTCACATGAAAAAACATAATTTTACTGGCATGGTAAATTGTTAATTATCCATGAGGACAACAAAAAGATTCGTTACACGGAAAACATAATTTTACTGTTGTAGTAAAACCATGACAGCGATCAAATTTAGTTGGTACAACCAAGTTACTTTGCTATGTATACATCAAATGGCAATTAATACCTATACAAATTTTTTTGCTGTCCTTATAGTAAACCAGCAATTAGTTGTGCCAGCAAAGTATTTTTCTCCGTACTTTCCCTGATATTATAAATTTAATAAGACTTTTCCCAGCTTTTTGCAGGTCTGTGGCAATCCTGTTTCTATCAGTCCATAAGTAAGCGCAAACTATCTTAAAGAGCGTCAGAGCGGCGTAAAAATTTCAACTCAGTCGATCAGTTGATTTTGCAGAACGTTCAAAACGGAGGATTCTGTAACGGCCACGACGTTCGGCAAAGGAGCCCGGATTTAAATGAAACGCCCACGCCAAAATTCCATCATTACGCCTCGCGCCTTCGCCAAGAAGACGTGCGCGAGCGCGCCGTTGTAGAGCCGCTCTTCCCGGCGATGATCCTGCGCGAATATGCCGGCTTATCGAGGCATCGATAAGTCGGCTCGTAATATTCGCTAAATATTTCAGCAAGTCGAGTGCACGGAGGCTCGCGCGAGCAACGAGGATAAAGATTAGAACGGCAAATATTATTTCTCGTTAGGCGAGTGCGCGTGAAAACGCGTCGGAGGCACGAACGACGACGAAAAGTCGCCTCTCGCTGAGCACCGCGAGACAACGAAACGTGAGATACAAAAGCGATACTTGTCGAATAAAGTATTACAATGTTACGCCGAGGATTGATAAGTCGTTGTGTAACTTGCCTCGCGCCAAAGCAGACGCGCATGCACACAGGACAACACACACACACACATACGAGACGAGGAAATTCGAATTATCCCGTCGCGAAAATTCTACACGGGAAAAAATCTCTGGCCATGCAATTGAATAAGTATCAGGGGCCTTGTTCTTTCTGATTCTTAAGCTGAAACGACGTTATACGTGACGGTCGTATAAAATGACGGGACGTGAAATTAAAAGGGCATACTCAGCGTTCGCTATACGTTTTGATTAAGACCCTGGATGAGAATTCGGTTGCGAGGAGTGATGTCTCTGTTTATCGTGAGCGAAAACATTCAACTGTATTAAGGATGTATTGCCCATAAGTTGAAATAATAAAGCAATGAAGAAAATTATGAAAAAATTACAGATTAATCTACCATTGCATTCAAAAGTGACGTCAGTCAGAAGTTTGACAGTAATTCAAAGCCTGGATCTGAAGTTATTCTACTTTATTAATTGGTTGTAAAGTGAAAGGAGTTTAATAAGAATTCGATAAAACTTGCATTGCATAATGCTTTAAAATATTATCTAACTTATTACTCGTGCAGTTAGAATAAGATTGACCATTCGAGAACTGAGATATTTGTAATTAAAGTTGATACTTTTTATGCACGCCTCTCGAGAGATTGGCGTGCTATTTTTAATTTCTATTTGTAATTTCGAATTATAAAAATAAAATTTTCATGAAAAATGCTGTAGTATTATAGTGTATGCTGTAGTTATATTAAAATATTAGATACTTAAATATGGTATTGAAGACTAATACAATCATACACAAATTTCAAAATTATTGACCATTAAAAATACAGCGATGCAAAAGTTCATGACTTATATAGTAACACATATACCGAAATAATATATATATATATATATTACTATATATTATTTCGGTACATATATCGAAATATATATACATATGCATATATTTAAATACTTTACACACCACTTTCTATTATCTATGCACCTCTATTAGATCAACTGATATATAAATATAGCATTAAAAAGAAAATTCAATCGATCAATTCAAATTAACATTATTTAGTGAAAATGTGTAGGAACATAATTTTGCTTGATAAATACTAAATTTATGCCTCCTTGACGCGTCACTGAAAATATGGCACCAATGGGCAATACATCTTTAAATGCGCTTGAAATAACTGAAGACAAGAGGTAGAAGCCTCGTGCAGGAATCTTCTTGTTCGCACAACCGAGCTTTCCATCTGGTCCCTATTCTCCCCCTCAGGCGACGGAAAATTCAGTTATACTGATAGAGAATTGTTTTCCCGTATAGAAATAAATCCAACATCGCACGCGCGTACACAATCTCTCTCTCTCTCTCTCTCTCTCTCTCTCTCCTCTTGTATGCGGAATTTTATCCACATTTATCTCTCGCACGCGGCCCGTCGACGAAGCCTGAAGCGTCACGAACAACGGGCACGAGAACAGCAAGTTCTAAATATACTTTGGAAGTGGCGATTGTTTACAGACAGCTTAGATATTAGCATCCGCGCGAACAAGATCGCGTAAGTGGGGGGGGGGGGGNGGGGGGGGGGGTACACATTAGGAAATTCAAGTATATCGTTTGCTTCGAGCGCGCATAATCTCCTATCATTCGCGTTCCTTTCCCTTTCTTCGATAAGTTTCTAAGACTTTTTGCGAAGGTTTCAGAGCCGATGCTTTTACGGTTAGGCGTAACTTTACTTAATAATGTATCGACTGTTTGTTCCGACGATGCCTAAAGGTCACTGAAAAAAAGTCAAGTTGTGTCTGACTGATCGGAATGTCAGCTTTCAGCTCTTCGTAAAAACTCCCTACGAACTTGTCGAACAACTCGATATTATACTGAATATGAGGCCAATAATTATTACAGTCTCGAATATCTCGGAAAAATCAAAGTACTTCGGTGAGGATGAAAGAAGTTTACATTCACGGGAGATGTTCGAAGTGATGATATCACCGGGATAGTCAATGGAACGTCTGTTTCAAATTTTCCCTTCCTACTCTCTCGTATTTCAAAGACACTCAAGGTGGTGACGGTTACTGCCTCACGCTCGTACATCGTTAAATTAAAACGCACACCCGCTCGGCACTGCACCGGGCGTTTATCCAACGATTTGCGGAATTCACTTTGCATCCTTGACGCCTCGAAGTGCGCCGTTCATCATTGTCACGGCGATTGTGTGTGACGCAATAAAAATTGCGTGTCCCGTGTCAGTGCAACAAGGAAAACCTGTTTTTCCCGCTCCACATGCGACTCGCGATCAGGTGAGGAAGGAACGCCGACGATCTCGAAAGATCAATGTACATCGCGTCGAATGAAATCGGCGCCGTCGCCGCCGGCTGTCAACGACGACAACGTGTCGCGTGCCCCGTGCGTTCGATCGGCACTACCGTCGTTTGAGCATTGTCGCTCGGCGAACTTGAAATTAAAAAGAGTGAGGAGCGCGGGCAGGTGTGGGTCAAGGCTGTTACAACGCGCGAGACGGCTCTGATCCGACGCTTCTTTCGCGCGCGACACTGTCACCGTGTGTGCTTCCCGCGCGCGCGGTTACAATGCACACACGTTATCCTAGCAACAAGTGTTTGTGTCAACCGGCACAGAGAGAGAGAGAGAAAGATAGCTCAAGGGGTTGTCCAGACACACGCGTGCGATTCGATTAAATTTCGCCGTTAGCTTCGTCGTCATCCTGCGGGGATTCACAGTCGCGATTTCCAGCGTCTCGTCCATTATTTTAACCGGTTGAAGTTCCCAACGATTCCAATGAACCAGACTTCGGGCGAGCTCGAACAGAGATGATCTCGACACGGCTTTATTTACTTCGGATCGCTGACTCTATAGTGACCGAAGATCTCTCAAATGCCACCGATACTCGCCGCGAATTCATTCGCGGAGCCACCACGGCTGCAATTTTCTGCGTTCCGCACATTATTTCGATCGATTAGAACTTTAACGGTTAGAATGTGAACTTGGTCGGATTCAAGTTGAGATCCCGGTGATTTCACTCTCGGATCTCAGATTGAAGATCTTAAGTTACCGACTTGTCGCGAACCGTCATCCTGCGAATTCAGAGACCGAGACCGCATCGCGATCTTCCACGCGTCTCGCAGTATCGTTTTCACCGATTAGAATTTTTCACGGTTCAAATGATAGTCTTGATCAGATTTTCAAGTTGACGTCTCGGCGAAAAATCGCAAAAACTTTGGGATCACGGATCTCAAATACCGAGACTCGTCGGGAATACCCGCGAGACCTACGCGAGAACATCGAAACTCGGCCGAGGAAACCGTCTCGCAGCTCGCATGAGCGGCGGAAGGTCTCCTCCTCCCCCCAGGGGAGGGTGTCAGTTAATTAATCGCACCCCAGGAACGTCTTGATTAAGCCGAGTCGACGAAATCGCGCGTGTCCTTCCGCGAACGTCCGAACTGACAGTTCATCACTGTGCGCGCGCTCGGGCCACTCTCGGCCTTATATCCGCGGGGAAGCTCACTGCCGGTGAATATCGGCTGACAAAAGCTCGCGGGAAGCGCGGCCAGAGCTTCTCCGCGTCTCTCCCTCACGACGACGTCGCGGTCTCACGTCGTTCCGCGAAACTCCAGCTATCTCACCGTGCCAGCCGTTCATCGCGACGATCGGAGACACCGAGGATCGACTCTGTTTCCCGAGGAAGGCGGAAAAAGACCGAGCCGAAGGGACGGAGCAGCCAGAGAAAGAGAGAGAGAGAGAGAGAGAGCACACCTGGCGAATGCAAACGCGTGACGTCTCTCGACGCGATGACGCCGCGCGCGCGCGTCGGCTTCCTCGCGTGGACCCGCGCTCGGCCGCTCGTGCTCAACTGGATCACCGCCGTCCGGACTAGACTGGCGCCCAGCGGCGGCTCGTGCGGAGGAGCTTGCGGACACGTTGTGTGTATGAAATTTATGGCGCGTCGGTTAATACGCGCGCTCTCTCTCCCGGCGCACGAGAGACTCGCGCGCGCGCATCGAAGCCCCCGTCGTTATCCCGGGTTGATTAGCAGATTATTATTCCTCCGGTGCGCGTTCTCGCCCATTTCGGAGAACTCGTTCGCGGAAGACGAGGCGCGGGAAGGAGACGTCGCCATCGAGATGTCATCGGGTGGGTGTGACGTTACTTCCCCCGGCGATGGGTATGTCAATGCGCATCTCGCATGCGGCCGTTCGTCGAAATCATTGTCACGACATTCGCACGATCTTTAAACCGCGCTCCCGGCGCACACTCGGCGAGTCGCTCTTTATCTGCCGAGTCGCTCGACCACCGCTCGCTGCGCGCCGCGCACGATAAGAGCGTCGATAAGCGTGTAAATATGTACTCAGCACGTGCAGGAGGATAGAAAACCCAACCGGGATGGAGAGAGAGAGAAAGAGAGATGTTGAAGCGTCGGTGTAGTGTTTGAAAAAGAACATTTACGAGTCACCAGCGGACGCATCCTCGAGATCAGGCTCGAGGAAAACAAGGTGCTCCTTGTACTCCTTTGATCGTTTCCCACGCGACCCCGAAGTCGTCAATTGACCTTGATCGATATCGCGCGAGAAATTCTGAGTTTGCGATACAACGTGCTTAATCGCGTTCGGGAAGTAAAAAAGGCCCGCGCGAGACCTTTAAAAGTGACGATGACACGCTGTTATCACCGCTGTCAACAAATTAGATCCCGCGAATCGCGCGATTTCGCAATACCTCGATGGTAAACAGAGGAGGCTTACCGACGTGCACATAGGTAAAGTGGTGCTTGAGCTTACCGTCGGGAAACGGGGAAGCTCTCCTTCTCTTATCGACGCTTTCATTCCACGGACTACCACTTCGTTATCGCGGCAAAATTAGATCGCAAATTAGCACAGGTGACTATTTACCGCATCGCGACTTTTTATTATACACCTCGTAAGCGTAATCGATTCGACGAAGAGGAGCATCCGGTTCACGTCTGTCTGTCTCTTTCTCTCTCTCCCTCCCCGTCTTGCGGCTGTTTGTTATTCTTCGGAAGATATATGACGGAAGAAGAAAATAATACGACCACGAAGAGAGAGAAATATACTCCCGGCGACCTTTTTAGTCGATAAACTTCTCCCCTTGTGACCCAGATCCGCGCGGAATCGATTAACTGCGATTGTTGTAATGCATACGCTGCATATCGCGTTATCATCTATTATCGAGTCTATTTACGTTAGTGAAAATGGAAATCGCGCTGTGAAATACTAACAAGATCAAACGCAAACCCGCAAACGTGTGAAAGTTGGTTACCGATGCGACGACGAAAAGCTTGCCCGCCACGCGCGCTCTTGCATACATTTTCCAACTCAGCGGCATGCAGTCCGCTCCTCCCCC